AGCGGCCGGGTTTGTGTTCGCCCCGTTTATTCCGCCGGGAAAGAGGCGCCTCTACCCGCACCGAGAGTTCCCCGCTGAAGTGCGGGGCAGGGAGCCGGCAGTGCTGTGCTCGGGAGACCCACTTCCAGCTGTGCAACGGGCTTGCTGTGCTCCCTCCTGAGCCTTGGCCCCCTTTTGGGGGTCCCTCATGGCCTTGGCCTTATTTTGGGGGTCCTTCCCAGGCCTTTGCTGAGTTCTGGAGGTCCCTTCTGACCCTTGCAGGGAACCCGTCCATGGCCTCTGCCCTGTTTTGGGCATCCCACCTACGCTTTTGCCCCGTTTTGGAAGTCACTCCGTGGCCTTTGCCTGGTTTTGGGGGTCCCTCCTGAGCCTTTTCCTGGTTTAGGGAGTCTCTTTCACTCCTTTGCCTGGTTTTGGGGGGCCCCTCCTGAGCACCCAAGTTTGTGCAGGTGCTTCCTGCTGCCCTGGCTTTCCTCAGTGTTCCCTCCCCTTCCCAAACTGAGCACCCCGGCACTCCTGTTCCTCACCAAACCCCCAGAATGCCCCGAAAAGAAAAAAAGAAGAGGCTCATCCCAGGATGCTCCCGCACGCATCCCAGTGGATCCATCCTGAGGTGCCCAAGGGGGCGAAAGGAAGCGGATAGCCGGGCCGCTCCTTGAGACCGCTTTATTGTGGGTGCTTCTGGTAGGCCGCGCGTGGGTGCGGGTGCGCAGGGGTGCGCGTGTGGGTGCGTACGTGTGCGTGCAGGGTCCTGCTGGGCCACAGGCCGCCCCGGCCCCCAAGCGCTGGGCGTGCAAGGTCGCCCCTCGGGCTCGCTCCGGCTGCAGCCCCTGTGTTTTGCATCTCACGCAGCTCCCCACGCGGTGCACGGAGCTGGGACGGATGTGAGGCTGATGCCCGGGTCCTGCTGGCTCACGCTCGTTGCCAGCTCCAGTAGGAAACCAAGCGCCCGGCGAGCAAGAGGGTCATCAATAACGCAAAATCCAGCAGAGATCTCCGAAGCGGAGGAAGCAGCGGCCCCAGGGCATCCTCCTTGTGTTTCGGTAGAGCTAAGCTCGCTGCCAGCTCTGGCAGGAGATGCACTGTGCCCACAAGGCCAGGAGCAGTGCGAGAGCTGCGCTCCCAACTGTGTGCTCGCATGCTTGGAGTCCTCCTGCGGCTGGCGACCAATCCTCAGCGGGGATGAGCAAATCCCACTACGCACAGCCACTGTTCCAGGGCCTGGGCACGAGGCCCCGGCAGCTCTGCGGCGTGGCGGCAACGCCGAAAGTCCCCGCCAACCCTCAGCACAGTCCTTGCAAGTGGGGGCCACTTTGGACTGAGTAGAAAATCAAGGGGTTTTCACATATTAAAAAAAAAATCCAAAAAGGATGGAACCGTAGTCAGGCCAGGTCCTGAACGGCGGGCGGAAAAAGCGATCGGGCGTGGCGTGGGGCGCCCACCGAGAGCTCCTGCCGGGGGCTGTGGGCCCAGGGCTGCTCCGTCTCCCCGCTCCATCCGTGCTCCGTCCGTGGGAGCAGGTGCGGCGGCACGCAGGTCCAGAGAGGATCCGCTCTGCGGCTTCCTTCCTCCACGCTATGTCACGCAATGAAGTGTGAGCTTCCTCCTGCCGGGACAGACACGTGAGCAGCAGTGAGCGGAGGCAGCAGCACCAGCTCCCGGGCGAGCTCTGGCTCTATCAAGGATGCTAGCTCCGGAAGAGCCAGCGTGCTCTGCCCGGGATCAGGGGAGCCTTTCCCCGCCGAGCAGGCATCCTGGCTCCCCAGAAGCCTCCGAAGCTCTCCCTGCTCCCGCCTTGGCTGGAGCCCCCTGGCATACCACGGGGGCCGTGCTTCCCACCCCGCTTCCCAGGCCACCAACCGCTGCACTCACTCATCCGGGAGCAAATCCGGGCTCTGCTGCTGCAGCTCGTCCCAAGAGGCTCCCTCCCGAGCAGGTGTGAATGAAGTGATACTGAGGACACCTTCACCGTCACCGTGAGATCCAAGTGTCTTTTCAGCGGCGTCGCACGTGGAGCGCGTGCTCTGGGGCTCCTTCCCCGCTTCCCTCCGTGGCCGCTTCGCCTCGTGCCTTGCCATCCTCGGCCTCCGGGCGCCCCGGGACCCTCCGGGCCCCGCGGCTGCTCAGAGTCCGAAGCGGAAAAACCTCCGGCAGCAGCGCTGCCGTGTTACCTGCGAGTGGGAAGCACAGGGACACGGTCAGGGAGATGGGCACCCTCCCGCGCGCGGCGCCAGCCCATTCTGCGGCACCGTGGAGGACAAAGCGGCAGCTCTCGGCGCTCACTTGGAGCAAGGGCTGGCGACGGTGGGAGTGGGCGGGTAAACCAAGGCCACATTCACTCGCTCGCTGCCGTTCTTGGGACAGATGATCTCCGTAAGCCCCTCTGGTCGCGGCTGGCTCAGCAGCTCTCCTGGGAACGAGAGAACACGCGGGGACAGCGCTCGCGCGCCGTGTTTCGCAGGGCACCTTCTTGCAGCTCCGAACGGCCCCTTCCCACACTCGCGCGGGCAGTGGCGAGTGGCTGCGCAGCGAGGACAAGGCTCCAGGCGAAGGAAAAGCAGCCTCCAGAAAGCAGCTGCCCCCAGCCTGAGCGGGCGGCTGCACCAAGGCCCCTCGCCCAAACACCCTTGGCGCGAGCGGATGCGCTGCCAGTGCTCTTCTCCTTAGGAAACCTAGCAAGGACCTCGCTCCAGCCGCACGCTCCAAGCCTGCACCAGCACCTCCTTCTCCTCGCTGCATTTCAGCTGCTGGGCCAGTTACAGGAAGCTAAAAACACCCCAACACTCATCTGCTGTGAGCACGTCCCCTCCTCTTGCACCCGCTGCTCTTCCCATCCTTGGCTTACTGGGATTTGGGATGGAACAGCCTCGCTCCAGGGCACATGCCGGCAGCACGGCTCACGTGCGCCTCCGGCCCTCAGGAAATACCGTGAAATGCTGGAGCCCCGTGATGAATCGGCGGGGAGGAGGGAAGCTGCCGGCCCAGGGAACCAGCCGAAAATCCAGCCACTTCCATCAGCCTCTGCCTCATTAAAGGAGCTTGAAAGAAAACAGCCCATTTAGGTACCTCTGGGAGCATCCAGGAAGGTCTGGAGCCTCGGGCACCTCCCAACAGCATCCAAGCAGCGCCAGGGATGCTGCGACTTGGAAGCCACAGCGGCGCTGCAGAAAGCCCACAGAGGGGCCCGGGAACCCTCCAAACTGCCCAACATTTTTCCGCCCTTCCGCTTCGTGCCCTGCAAAGCTGCCTGCGCTCAGCTGGCTGCAGCGCAGCGTCGGGTGACCGTGATACGAAGCCATGAAAAATTCATTGGCTTCATTAACATTTCAGGAGCTTATTAGCTGGAACGAGAGCACTGTCAAGGCATTTTCGGGAAGAGGCACAACATGACGAGCCGCCCTCCTCCCAGAATAGGAACACGCAGCTTCCAGGCCCCCAGATCTCCTTCTGGGCTATTTTTACCGGCTCCGCTTTGGCGCAGGGCCCTGTGCGCGCTCTCCTGCTGCAGGGAAAGCCGCAGTGAGCCGCACTTGTCGCGGCGAGCTCTGGGAAGCCCAGCCACGTTCTGCCATTCCCCTGCCTCCGGCTTTCAGTGACCTGCCTTCCTCCGGCCAAGACGATGCAAGGAAACCCAGAGTGCACGTGCAGGGCACGTACGGGCCCGCGTCGCCCAACTGGTTTCCCTGCGATTAAGCAAACTTCTCCCTGGGTAAAAAGTGACTTGACTCCTTGGATCGCACAGGCCCAGGGCTTCTCCCGGGCTCAGATAAAGGCATTCAGCAACCCCCGAACTCATCAGAGGAGGCTGCTTCGCTAGCCGGCATGGCAAGCGCTCTCCTCAGGTTTCCCCTTCCCATACGCTGGTTTAAAGAGCAAAATCCGAGTGCTCCCAGTCCCGCTCATGCTCACGTGTGTGATTTGTTAAGTGTTTTATCTGCTAATTGCAGCAACTTAAATTTGCCCTTACGTTAAAGATAAGGGCGTGAAGCCACATTTTAACGTATTAGCGTGATGCTCCCTCAAAGCCGCGTCATGGCGGGGCTTTCGCCGCATTTGCTCGTCACAGAGCTTGCTCCAGCCTTAACTCAAGTACCATAAACCGCCTCCTTGCTGCCTCCCCTACTGCGTTACCCACTCTCTGCTAGTTAATAATTACTCGCTGGCAGCAGCGCAGAGGAGGAACCTGCACCGCCCCCGGAGCTGCTCGGCTACATGGAAACCTGACCTGCTGCTCTGCACTGACCGCTCCCCAAGGCCGCTGCGGGTCAAGGGTTTCTGCCGTCCGATGGAGCACAAGGGGCCACGGCCACGCAGGAGCAGGAGGAGCCCTGCGGCGCCCACAGCACGCCGTGTCCAGCAGCACCAAACCTGCTGCGCGGCCAAGAACAAAGCCCCGTTTGTGCTCTTAATAGTAAGGACTTTGCAGCATCGCTTTCTGCTCGACCCTTTTCCAGGAGAGATGAGAACTAAACTTCTAAATCTTTTTTTTTTTTTTTTTTGCCGCAAATCCCCAACATTTCCAATTGTTTAATCATCCTTCTCCGAACCCTCGCGTTGCCCGAGCGGGTGACGACAGCGTCATGGGCGCTCTTTGCTTGCACACACGTTTTCCCCGCGCAAACCAGGGAATTTATGGAGTGAATATGATGGGTCATAACCCCTCTGTGGCAGCGGTCGGGTCAGCGAGGCGATGAAGCGCTGCCGAGAAGTGCCGTCCCCAGCAGCGCAGCCGGGCGAGGGCTGAGCTCCATCCCCTGCCCAAGCTCCTTGGTAGCTTTCTGGTACAGGAGTCACCTGAAAATCCCCAGACTGTTTCCTTGGAGCTTTCCCGGCACAAATACGCTGCTGGGGAAAGGCCCACACAAGACTCAACTCTTCACGTTTGTCTCCACATCTCTCCCCAGGCACTGGGCTGCATCACTTGTCCCCGGAAGCAAGAGCTGAGATGGTGCCAAGATCCAGCAACGGCCACCAAGAGCCACAAGGACTCGCAGCCGAAGCACCTGAGGGTCCACACGGAGCTTGGCTCTGTTCTCCCCGGAGAACAGGGAATTTTGAGCCCCAGGACTAGGGCCAGGTGGAGAGGAGCTCTGCCCAGAGGACAGGACTTCGGGGAGAGTGGTGCCCAGGACAAGCAAGCGGCAAGACATGTCATGTCAGACAACAGGAAGGGGAAGCTCCTTTGGGATAAGTTCCCCAAATTTAGCCGCTTGGATAAGCCTGGGTCATGCCGACAGGTCTGTTTTCCATGCCCTGCGGGCGCCGTTATCTGAAACGAGCACGTCACCGTCTTGCTCAGACAAAGGAGCAGTTTGTTCCAGAGGCAGGATGAGAGAAACGCCGAGGGATCTGAAAGCTCGCCCCGTTACGTAACACCCCCAGCCCGGCCTGCCGCGCACCCTGGAACTCTGCCACGGAGCCCCGCGCCCAGCGAGCGCATGGAGAGC